CTTAGAGAGTGCCACAGCGGTAACAGCCCGCGATGTGCAGAGTACGCTCGCACTGCGTTCAATTGCAAAATTGTTGTTGTTGTTGTTGTTGGTGCTGGTTGGTGGTGCTGCTGCTGCTGCTGCTGCTGCTGTTTTTGTTGTGGTTGTGGTTGTTGTGGTGGTGGTGGTGGTGGCGGTGGTGGTGGTGGTGGTCTTGGTGGTGGTGGTGGTGGTGGTGGTGGTCGTGTCATCGTCGACGTGGCCGTCGGGGTTGTCGACGTCGTCTTCGTCGTCGTCGTCGTCGTGGTCTCTTGTAGCTGCTATGGCTTTTGAGGCACCTTCCCAGACATGCGCGTGAAGGCCAAGGCTGGGTCATCCTCTGCAACAATTTGCTTTCACAAAGCCTTAGTCAGGACGGAGTTCTTTAAACTTTTTTCAGTTCGCAAAAGGGAGTTGAATCGCAGTCGTTGAGATGTGCTGAGCAGCCGAAGATTTCGGACGGTCCTAAAGCTAGTTGGCTGGATTGTTCCACCCACGCGCGAACTTCCACATCTTGAGAAAGCTGACTGTTGTCCGTGGAGTAGACCTTCTTCACCAGGTTCCGGAACACCTGCCAATACCTCACAGTACTTGCACCAAAGACCGTGCGACTGAGTCTTGCAGTCCAGTGGAGAAGGACGCAGGTAGGGCCCGACCAGGCCCCACAGCTAGGGCCGCTCTGAATCAAACTCAGAGGCCTCCTGCAGCACCAAGAAGACCTACGCCATCTCAACTCCTGCGTGGCGGACAGGCCCCTTTCTTGGGAGGGAATGCTGGCTTTGCCGTTTTGCGGTGTGGAAAGCACACGTTGTCTTGAGCCGACGCCAGGTACCAAGACGGCTTCCTGTGCCAAGCCTCTGTCCTGCAACTGTCGATCTGCAGCTGGGCCGCGTCGGGTCGGTTCGCGGCTTCTCAGGTCCGAATAAGGTTGGTGCTTAGCCTTAGCAGCTGCATCCCTCCAGGGAGCACCGAAGAATGGTAAGTATGAGCGTGAAGTTTATCGAGAGTAGACCGAAGCCAGCTAAATCTGCAAGTTCTAGAGCTGGGAAACCTAAAGCCCGTGTCACAGCACGTGGCAGCCCTGAGGCGTGGAGAGTCAAGGATCAGTGTACCTTGCCTGCAGTGTGGTCTGCGTCAGAAGGTCTAGTGCAGTGGTCCGGCAGAGTCTTGCAGCTTCCCCAGGCTGGTCTGGCCACCAGACGGCTGCCACCTTTAACCCTTCGCAGGGCAAATGCACTCGCCACTCGGCGGCGGGAGACCATGTTGTAGAGCGCCTGGGTCTCGGGTGTGGGGCCCGAGGAAAGTCCGGCAGCGACGGCATTCAGGTCACGGCTGTGTGCGAGGCTGGGCAAACACCACAAAGTTGCCTTCCTCTTCCGAATTCTCTGCCATTTGCCCATCTTTCAGTCTTTGACCGCGGATCCAAGCCTACTGGTTCAAACCCTAAAACTAAACCTTAATCCCTCTAGTGCAAGAGCCTTAGAGGGGCTGGGGAAACGCTCAAAACACCTGGAGCACCGTTGACTTCTGGAGGTCCTTGCATGCAGCACCGGCGCGAACGCCGGCTGCAAGAGCTGCGTCGGGGAAAGGGACCGCCAGGCTGGAGAACGCGGAAAGCAGTTCAGATAGGCGGAAGGGAAACAAAAGCATCGATACGAAACACCGTGCATGCCCACTTGAGGCTGTCATGATGCTCTCATTTGCCCATAGAAAATGGAATGGCAGCAGGTGCAAGTGCTTTAAGTCATCTGCCTGCTTCTTTGTCCTTCTAAGGAAAGACTAAGACAAGTGCTGTCGCTGTTTGTCGCTTCGAGTTCTAGAGCCCCTAGGCTCTGAAGATCTCCGAGCCTGTCCAGAAGCCAGGTGGTGAACCACTGCGCCTCGTGCAACCCGGGGTACTATCTCGACGGCGGCATCTGCAAGGCATCGCCAGTTGTCCAGGAGCTGGGCTTCGGAATGAAAAATGTGAACCACAGAGGGAATGCGCGCACTGCTTTGCAGCCTCTCGGGCGTTGATGTGCCGATTTCCTGAAATTCACGAGCGAGAAATCTCATCATTGTTTCTCTCTCTCTCTAGAATCTAGAACCCATAAGCCCCTTGTCCCTTCTTTGTCCCAGCCAGGCCTATTCCTGCCACAAGACACTCGGCTCGGGCTGTGCCAGCTGCCGCGCTCAGAACCAGCGCACGGCCGGCAGGGGGGAGCCTATGGGCACCGTGTAGGGTGTGAACTACATGTTTTAGCAGGAGCTCAGGACCGCGAGTCAGTTTCGCTTCTTGAGCCGCTCCCATGCAGGCGCACAACCAATGCGCCAGCTGCAACTTCGGTTGGGCGCTGGTGGGCACACAGTGCAAGGACTCACAGTGGTGGCAGTGGGCTTCGGTACCTCCCTGAACCGGCCGAATTCTGCAAGTTCTTGCAACAAAGCTTGATCGTTGCGGTGCCGCAGACTCAACGTGAACCCCTCGAGGATGACCACGTCGTTCTCAGTGGGTTTTCGGGCAGCCGCGATGACGACACCACCTCAGCCCCTGGTCCGACTATGATTTCGGACAAGCGGATTGTCACGGGATTTGTGTGTCGAAGTAGGTAGTCCTGTGCTTAAGTATGTGTGCATATACGTGCGTACATTTAAATGTATGTACGCATGTATGTATGGACTTATGTAATGTTATGTTATGCTATGTTACATTATGTTATTACTTGGTATGTTTGCTATGTATGTTATGCACGTTAAGCATGTAATGCATGTGATGCTTGTAATGTATGTAATGTATGCAATATATCATACATGTAGTGGATGTAATGTATGTAGTGTATGTAATGTATGTAATGTATGCAATAAATCATATATGTAGTGGATGTAATGTATGTAGCGTATGTAGTGTATGTAATGTATGTAATGTAATGTCATGTAATGTCATGTCATGTCATGTAATGTGATGTAATGTAATGCACTGCAATGTAGTGTAATGTAATTTAAGGTAATGTAATGTAATGTACTGTCTGTCTGTCTGTCTGTCTGTCTGTCTGTCTGTCTGTATGTATGCATGTGCCCCCTCCCCCCTCAGAATGGTACGCGGTGGTACCCCCCTTCTGCCGCTTGCCACTGGCCTTCAACCCTGCACCCACATTATAATTCTAAATGCCTTCGTGTCCGGCGGGCTAGGGGAGGGGGAGGTGAGGAATGCAGAAGTCTTGCTCAGACTGTTTAGCAACAACCGAAATTTGTTGGATGACCCGAAACTTCACCACCTGGCCTTGTGGAGCGTCTGAATGGTGGGCCAGGATAAGGGGATATACGGGGGGTTGGGTCTCTGCAGAGAGGATTCAGGGGAAGGGGAAACCAGGGATCCGTGTAGGAACCTCTGACCGCCGGAGGCGAACAGATACAAATACACACATCACTCGCACACGCATAGATTTGTACTCTGGGTCCTTGTTAGATACAATTTTACATATTTGTCAGAATCAAATTTAAACCCAACAAGGATTAAAAATTATGATTTTTAACCTAGCCCCACAGGGAACCAGTGCTTATCTGTATGTGCATACATGTTTCTTGTAAGTACAGGGTAATTATACAGACTGACGAGTTTGTGTTGCCTTTGTTCGGGGGCTATGTCGGCATGCGTATGTTTGCCTTCCATTGCGTCTGTTTGCATGTCGGTATGTATGTAGGTGACCACAGTTGCATGTGATGTGGCTTTTGCATACGTGTATTTGCGTTTGCATTCATGCACCTGGATTTCTCTGACTGTGTATGTACAAGGGATTGATTTGCTGTCGGAATGTTTTGTTTTAGAGATTAGAGCTGAGTGTTGCGGCATTGTGAATGTTGCATGGTAGCAGAGCACTGCAGGCTAAGGAGTGTCCTCTTTTTCTCAGGTCAAGGCAGTAGGACTTGTGCAGCGACCTCCATCCCAGTAGAAACTCCAGACCTGCGCGGCCAGGCCACTTGCCCTAATGGCATGTACGTCGCTTGGCATGGAAGAAGCTTGCAATTGAATTTCGGTGCACGGGCTCAGCAACATGTTGGCCAGCACTATGGCAAATGCTGTAGATGAAGGTTCAGTTAGTTGTGTGCTGACTGTGTTCCTTGTCGCCAATGCTGCTGTACGGAACCTGACATTTCGGTTTACCGTGATTGCTATGCTTGTGCCAGCTCTGGACTCCTCAGGCACACAAGTGTGAAGTTGTGGAAGTGCAGGGAGCAGGCGGAAGTTGTCCCAAAATGGTGATGTGAGTGCTCAAATTTGTCGCATTACGCTGTAGAGTGCTTCGGCGAATAAGTCTATTTGGCGTCGGTGCTTTCCTTTTGCCGAGGTCGGGGCCTGCACGCTTGAGCAGAGCGGTAAGCCTGCAAATCGCTTCTCATAACCATTATCATGGCCAGCACGACGGCCGTCAAGGTTAGCAATACTCTGAATACTTGTAACCATTGCAAGCACCATGAAGTGAGTCCCACGTTGCACGCAGGAGGTGGCCGAAGGCGCCGCCGCGGACAGGACGGGAAGCCTGGGAAGCCTGGGAAGAGGGTCTGGACGAATGCTATTTCGGCTTGTTGTTTTGGAGAGTCAAGCCGCAGAGATTCGATCAGCACAATGCGAGTCGATGAATGATGACACTATGAATGGCTCCTGCGGATACCCGCGCAAGCACCATACTTACACTTTCACACTCACTCTCATCGGGGTATTTACCGCGGTGCTGTTTTCGGTCGCTCATGAAAACCGAGCACTGCAGCGAAACCAGTGGTGTCCCCTGAGAGTTGTGGTTACGGTTGGATGATGATGCTTTCATGTTTCTGGTGGTGGTAGTAGCGTGGTGGTGGTGGTGGTGGTGGTGGTGGTGGTGATGGTATGCTGCTCTTGCTGCTGTTGCTGCTGCTCCTGCGGTCGCCGTCGTTGCCGTCGTCGCCGTTGCTGCCGTCGCCGGCGCCGTGGTCGTTGTGGTTGGCCTTGTGGTTGTGCTGTTGCTTTTGGTTGTGGGTGTGATGGTTGGTGGTGTGTTTGCTGTTTGTCGTTCGTCGCCGCTTGTCGTTTGTCGTTTGTTGGGTTGGATGTTGGTTGTCGGTTGTTGGATTGGTTGTTGGTTGTTGGCTTTCGATTGTTGGTGGTTGTTTGTTGGTTGTTGTTTGTTGATTGCTCTGTGTCGGTTGTGGTTGTCGTTGTTGCAGCTGCTACTGCTGCTGCTGCAGCTGCTGCAGCTGCTGCTGCCGCTGCTGCTGCCGCTGCCGCTGCCGCTGCCGCTGCCGCTGCCGCTGCCGTTGCCGTTGCCGTTGCCGTTGCCGTTGCCGTTGCCGTTGCTGTTGTTGTTGCTGTTG